ACCGCGGCGGCTCTTGGCAGTGGTACGCGTCATGGTTGCTCGGTTTTGGAAGTGCCGTCGTGGTCGCTTAAAGCAATGCTGTTGGGTCTTTGAATGGGCTAATTTTTTTTCTAGCATATGGCATGCCAGTTGAGGGTCATCTATATACATATACATATACATGCACATAGTATAGTTCCACATGTGTTCAGACTGAGACACGGGGCAGCCGGGGGGAGGGGGGGCAGCACGAGCCAATGATGGCATGCATGCGAATTGGAGATTTGCACAGGCCTAATATGATATCTTCCAAACGAAATTCCTTTGTAAAATCCAGTTTTTCGGCAATGCTTTTCACCGGCTGATTCTGCCCCCGTTCCGCAGTCTTCAAGACAAGCCCGGGCCTGTAGCTACAAGGCAGCTCGTAGCAGCCAGTCAAGCAAGGCTTCATTCTGGTGTGTTCACTGAGGTCTCGCAGCAAGTTATTGCAGCAGCCGTCGTGCGTCCAAAAGACTTCGTGGTTGATGCGGATTACTTTTTGATTTTGGCAACTCCGCTTGAGGTTTCCCTGCATGCCTTGCGGTTTGCTCCGGGAAGTGATCGCCTTTTGCAGCCCATGCCTACGCAGTATGCTGTGGCAACCGATGATGTTCTGACCACAGCGTTGGCGGCTGATGCTGCGAGCGGTCGAATCTTCCTTGGAGGAAACGATGGTTGCATACACGAGCTTCAGTACTCGGAAGATGAGTCCTCCTGGTTGCGCAGACCGAGAAAGTGCAGGAAAGTTGCAGTGTCCTGGAACTTGCAGTCTCAGCTGCCGGTTGCTTTGCAGCGCATCTGCGTCACCATGTTCGGGCAATCAGAATCTGTTGTTCAACTGGCCACAGAATCTTCGAGGGGACTCCTGATTGCCTTGTCATCTCTGTCCAACATCTCCATTTTTCATGTGCCCGCTGGCCAAAGGAATTCACAGGGACGCCTGGAAGAGAAACCCGTGGTGCAGCTGTGTTCGATTACACAGTCAAGCATCGCTTCAGAAGTGGGTCGCATCAAGGCGAGGCTCTTCCCTGGCTTGCTGGCTGCGAACTCCAGAGGTCTGAACCCGTTCGGTGCAGTCGCAGCTGCGACTGGTCTTGCATCTCAACCGCCTAGGCTGGTCAAGGTTTGGCCGGTGGAGAAGACTCAGGGGGGAAGCATCGTCGCCTGTGCCGTCGCTGAAGATGGCACTCGCGTTTTTCTCAAGGGCGTTTTTCGAGCTTCCTCGAGTGTGCCTACATCTGACGTGAACTCACCGGGCAATGGTACCCAACAGCGACGCAACCAAATTACATCCGTGGCTGTTCACCATGTTCGATTTCTGGATGCTCTTGCCCCGAAGAACCTGAGAGTGAAGGATGCTCTGTGGGAAGATGGTGTGACGTTGCTGCAGTGCCAGGTGTCTGAACATGATTCTGCGTCATCGGCATTTGCCGGGGGAAGGGCTGGAGGTGCGGAGATGCCGGAGTACGTGAATGCTGTAGTTGTTTTGAGCACTGACCTGCGGGTGATCGCTCAACGGCAGGGCCGCAATCGTTCCCCTTGGCTCCAACATGCAAGCTTGGCAGAACATGTCGACACTGTTCATTTGCATCGAAGTGGCTCTGCTGTGCCCGAAATCTTGGGAATTGCCATGCTGCCACGGCCTGTATCTAAGCCAGTCGAGCAATTGTTCTCGAAAGGAAATGGCTTGGTGCTGCCAGTGCTCCACCTCAGCGAACTCGCGAAACAGCAATTGGTCCCAGCGCCTTCCTTCATAATAATTTCTGGAATCGGTGCCCATATTCTCAGAAAGACACAGCCTATAAATGTGCTTCAGGGTCTGCTGCTCAACGGAAACATGGCGCAGCTGCAAGACTTCGTGAACCAATTTACAGCAGAGCAGGTTTGCGCCATGTGTTTCCAAACTTTGACACAAGCGATGCCAAAGATTTCAGCGCGCAGCAATGCTTCCAGGCCAGACAAGATCGATGCCTCTTCAGCTTCACGAAACAAGCTTAGAGTTGCCAAGACCGACATGCTGGCACAGCCGAGCAGCTCCCTTGCAAGTACTGCGTCCCTGCGAGACCCTGCAGAAGAGGTCCTGCTGCTGCGCACCGAGCAGTTTCTGCTGTCACCACAGCTTTCTGTACAGATGGGCTTCTCTCAGGTGTTGCCTGCTTTGCAGGGCCCAAAGATGTCAGCACAGACTTCTCCACTGGGATATCCTGTTATGTTCCAATCCGCTGCTCGCTTATCTGCACGTCTCCGAGGGCTGTACTCGTACTTGAGCAGGCTGATCAGACCCTTCTGGCTTTCCCCCGTGATGCTGGTATCCTGGCCACCTGCCCAGGCGGAAAAGCCAAAGCGGAAACGGCCCGACGAATGGTGGCCTCCACCTCCTGACCCTGCACCAGTCGCCAAGGGTGCTCAATGGAGGTGTGCTTTTTCAAAGCCCCAGCGATCTTATGCACAATCCGAGCTGTCGCTTCTCAAGATGACTTTGGATCGTTGTCTCCCCCGTCTTGTCCGGACGGAGCCAGGCCTCGCAGATGGTGGTTTTGCAGGTGCTAGCATCTCGCAAGAAGAAGTGGATGCAGCTCAAGGTGCACTACGAATCGTTGCGGCATCGCTTGAAGCCCTGGACTTTCTGGATCTTTTGTCGGGCTGCACGGCGGCCATGTCATCCGGCTCCTGCCCAGCAGAGGTCCTCCAGCGGTTTTCTGAGTTAACATTTCGGGATCTGGTATGTCAACCAGAGGCACAGCAGGTCTTGCAACGGCTGATGCAAGCCGGAGTCGTGGCTTCTCGAGATTTGTCGAGATGTCCCACACTGTTCAGCCAATCCGACTTGGAAATTCAAGAAAGCTTTGAGGTTCTTCGGATGGTCCAGGAGAGTTTGACGGCTGCTGGAGCCGGCACCAGTATGCTGGAAATCGCACGTCTAAGCAATCTGACTCATCGGGCGTTATCTGTTCTTGAGCGACATGCAGCACGTGTCAACTTGACAGAAGCTGCCGGCCGCCTGCGAGCTGTAGGCGCGTGCAAGGCTCGAGGGGCTTTTATTCCTTAACGTTTGTCGTGCTCAGCACATGTGCATGGGATTCTCCTTCTCTCAACCAGTGATTCTTTCAGACATTCTTATTGTTTGTGTAACGCATGCAGCTTGCATTCCTCAGATGCGTGTGAGTACGAGAATACCGGGCCTGCAGTGTGGCAGTGTATCCATTGCCGTCTTATCTCTCATGGCTATCAGCTCTAAATACTGGGCTTGCTGCTTGCTGGGGCCATGGGGCTGTGTCGTTGTTATTCAGCTACCCCACGCTTCTTCGGGATCGCTAGGACAGTGTGACAGACATGGCCTTGCCGTTGCTACTTGTAACACTTTGGGTCATTGTAACCTACAAGGAGCCGTACAATACTGGCCATGAGCAACCCTGCCAGGGACTCGTGGCGCTCTGTTCCAGCGTAGCGAAGGCGCGCGACTCGAAGGATGAGGCCATGAGGCCACACGATGCCTCTAATCCTCGCATCCAGCAGCTCCATTATGCCCGCCTGGAGTGCTACCAAATCGTTCTGGGTATCCTGGACGATTTCTTGTCCTTTGCAAGGCAACGACCTGGAATGCAGAGCAACTTCGCCCTTTTGCAACCACTGCAGGACGATGGCGGCGCCAGTACACGCATTTTGGACTTACCGGAACTGCTACCTTCGCACATTCAAGAAAGTGATGCCACTTCCATTCTTGACGCCCTTCTGCGACATTGTCTAGAAGGCCGTCAGTACCAGGCGGACGAGCTCTTCCATTTTTGCGTATTGAAGTGGATGATGCAGTCTGGACTCCCGCCGTATCGCTATAAGTCCCCCTACCTGAAGAACTTCCTACAGGTGCATGCAAAGGACGATCCAGAGATACTGTGCAGGTATCTCCAGCACAACGGACGATGGGCCGAAGCATGTGATGCGTACCTATCACTGGCAAGAGACGCGGGCACCATTTACCGAGTGGGCGGGCCGAGCAACTTATCAGGTTCCCAACAACAGATCCTTCTCCTCCAGAAGGCAGCAATGTGTGCGCGGATGCCACATTCAAACAGACGCGTGGAGCCTATCCTCCCCATGATGACAGAAGTCACGGCCATGAGGACTGAAAGCAGTCGTGAGACGCCTGACATGCACAGCTCCATCGCCAGACGACCACTTAGCTGAAAAGCCGAAGCTGCTGTCTAAAATCACAGCTCTTGGTGGGATTCTCGTGTGCCATACAGTATAGTAGACTCAGAGGTTAGGCAACTATCGAGAGGTATCATAAATTAGAGAAGTCGTTCGGATCCTAGAAACGAAACATGACAATCATGAATGGGGTCCTGACAGATGAGCAGCGTTCTAAAGCCCTTCTGTGAAAGTTCACATAGAGGTTACGATTGATCTGGCGAGCATCAGCTGGGACTCGGTGCGCGGCGGTGCACGTCAGTGAAATTAGTAACGTTGCTCATGCACTAGCTGATGCGTCAATGGTCTGGAAGTGGTTGTTTGGTGTTCTGTAGGACTTTGGGCGCAGCTTACGAGTCGCGGAGGTTCTCGGGTAAGTAGCATGCGGAATCCATTCATTTCGTAATTGCACAGAAATATGTACTATAATCCTTGGATAGCAAGAACTTCTTCACAGTACGTAATGTGACCTTTTTTATTTACTTCTCATGACTGCACCTTGAAAGATAGTTAGATACGCAGCCTCTCGCGCTGTCGCAGGCGGCATGACGCAAGGTTTCATTCCAGGGTCTCTCAACTTTTCCTCGCACGTTTTCTCATGTTTCGATATTGATATAAATAAATACATAAAAAATAAATACACACACATACATACATACATATATATATAAATATTTGTTTATACACAAATAAAAATATATATACATATATATATATATACATGTATGTATGTATATATGTATATATATATATACACACATATACATATATATATATATATATTTGTACTTATATTTATACCTATATTTAATGGCTGCCGCCACTGCTGCCGACCCCAAAGTTTTCCGACGTAACACACACACACACAAACACACACACACAGAGATACATATATATATATATATATCTCCCAAAGTGGACGACAAGGGGGCGGGCTGCGTGTCTTTTGGAGGTTTTTTGGATGTCTTTTATAGGGTTTGGGCATGCATTGGAGTGGAATTGCGGACGGCGTGTCTTTTGGAGATTTTGGGTTGTGACTATATGGAAGAGGTAGGGCAGCCACGCGGGGGCGAGCGCCTTGGGGCGCGGGAGGCTAGCAGGTGGGGTTGCGTATTGTGGGGCAATGGGAGCTGATTCGGTGGGCGTTGTGGGGGTGAGTGGGGCTGTGGAGGGTTGGGTCATGCGTTGGGCTCGCTGCAAGCAACAAAACTGCAGGGCTGGGCGATGCACTGCGCGGGTGGGTGCGTGGGGCATGGGGGGTTGGCCTGCTTTGGGCTTCAATTACATACACTATTAGGCTATTAAGCTGGTAGAGGAGATCCAGGTGGGGAGCGTTGTGGGGTATAAGATTTCCATATGTAGAGGTGAGGCGTGGGAAGAAGCCGCGGGGAGGGGAAAGGGTCGGTATGAAAACCGGGGGGCGCGTGAGGGGGAACGTTATGAGGTTGGCGAGATTCTAATACCTATACTCTTGATATCGGTTCGTGAAATTTCTCTCACTTCTGATAGATAGGTCTACTAGATTTCTGTTATCTAATGATTATTATTTGAAAATGGTTTTAGACTTGTTCGATATGATTTTCGTTATTTCTATAGATTTTTGAACAATGAATAAAATTATTGAATTTCGTAATTTTTTGATATTTCTCTGTGCATGGCAAGTAAGACCTCGATAATATATATAGAGAGTATTAAGCTATTTAGACATTAAAATAGATAAATAGAAATTTATGTTTTAAATATCTATTTTGATCCTTTTCCCGGGTCGTTTGATAGAGATTGAAGATGATATAATGATGCTCCGAATAAAGAAATTTCATTTGATATTTATAGTATACGAATACGATCGTTTTATGAATTTGAATGATTTCTGAACCTATTATAAAATATGAGAGATTATGTTAAGTCTAATTTCGGGAGGGTGGTAGCGGCTTCGATAAATCTATGAAAAATATATCTCGAATCGAAAAACGAGTCTTTAATTGCAATTAAGCACGAATTTCTTTCTAGTTATGCTATTTATAAGAATTTTCGTTATATCGAGGCACGAAATGGTTTGACAAAATATAATTACCTGATATATTAGTCTCTCGGCAAGTAGAGGCACTCGACACAATGAGCTGCGGCCTTGATGGTCCCTTTGTCCCTCCCAGACCTAAAGCAATCTTTTGGGGACCATGTATCCGTGCTGAAAGCATATTGATCCGTCTGAGTCGTTTTGCCCTTAGCAGACCCTGCAGCGTAGATTCGTTTTAGCCAGACGGGAGGCAAAAAAATGATCTGATATAATATATTTCTATTATTCGAAATTATAGAAGAAAAAATGATATTTAATATTTGTATTATTCTATTCCGCGCCTATCAGTGGGGTGATAAAATATTCGGACTCGGAGCTCATCTTATATTTATTTCGATTTGCAAATCCATACTCGATAAGATATATAATATATAGAATAAATAATTTAAAAAGAATCCGAAGTCATATAAAAGATTATAAAAAATCTAATCAAGATAGATATGATTAAAATCTCGACAAATTTCCTGGCTCGCTGCTCGAAGGTTGGAGCTTCTAGACCGACCGATAGCTGCGCAGGTATCTCATACAACCCTGCGCGGTCGGAAGGGGATGCTGAATCATTTGCGATGCTGCGGAAGGAAGTCATCGGAGTCTCTGCGGTGCGAGATTCCGTCGATTCCAGAGCGTGGGATTTGATAGGTTGATAGAGAGAAAATATATTATTATTATCGTTCACGATCCGTCATCGATATCAATAATAAAAATAATCACATAATCTCATCAAATCAGTTAATTTCGCTCGAGCAAAATAGAAATATCAAAACAGAGAAAGGGTCTCAGATACGGAAAAGTCTCTATAATAATCAGTACTTTGTTCGTCATATTATCGAGAATCTAATTTCCATAATCGTCGAAAGAGAAAAGAACAAGTCTTCGTCATTCCAATTTCTCTCGTAATTCAAGAAAGAATAATATTACGAGTTTCTCAAGCGAGGAATACGTTCCTAGAAGTCAGGTCTTCTCTATCTTCTTCCCAGAGGCGCCGCGCCTCCGATTTATCTCAATCTTCTCGTGAAATCTCATATTCGCCGCTATCTCTTTTCCGAACGTGTGTCAGCAAAAATTTCGACGCTCCTTAGCACTTCTATTCAAGCCGGACTCGCAACAATAGATTTCATTTCTTTAGATTCATGAGTAAATATTATTTTATTGGCTTTAGAGTCCGGCGTAATCGGCTATAAGCTTAGGGATTAAAGTGAACCCTAAACCCGAAAACCGTTCACGCCGGACCCCAAACCCATTTTATTTTTCACTCTTTCCGAGCTCAAGGCAAACAAAAAAACACAATATCCCGTTAATTCCGACGACTTTCTAAATATTAATTTTTTTACCGAAGAAATCAAATATTTTTTTGCAAATAATAATATGTCAATAATTAGAAGTTTTATTTTATTGCATATATAAAAATAAGAAAAAATAATCTATCTATCAAATTAAAAAATTTAATTAAATCAATTAATCTCCGACGAATATTTACACTATTCATCAATTCTAAAAATTAATTTAAAAAAATACGAGATATAAAATAAAAAATTAAATAAATCATAAAAATCAAAGCCTACTAATATTTCAAACAAAATTATTATTCTCATTATCATCTCAAAACCAAGACGAATCATTCTATTCGAAAAATATACATCCTATATTCATCTATAGATTGCAAAATACAAAAAAAACCTTTTTTTAATTTATTAGAAGTTCCCGTTTCGAATTTATTTCTATATTAACAAATCAGATTTTTATATAACTAAATATGAAATAAATTTCAAATATAATTTCAATAAATCTTTTTTTACAAAAAATCTATCAATTAAAAGTAAATAAAAAATATTTCTATAAATATAAATATATTTTTCTATACAATATTTATTAAAGACATTTCCTTTATAAGACTTCCCAATTTAGTCGCGGTATAAGAACTAAACAGGATTGCAAACCAATTTACACGAAATAATCAATTTACAGATTTTTACATGGGTATTCAGACCTCTCTTATCATTCGAAATCAAAAAATTATCATAACACCCAGTTTATTAGCATTTGTTTTCGAACATCTTTCTGTTATTCTCGACCGAGTCCTATATAGGGGATCATGAAACTCATATAGCCATCCTACCTGGTAAAAGTAGATATTTCAATGTTCTGATTCCGCATCTAGTTGGCTCAGAAACCCGAACATGTTGGTAAAGTCCAACATAGCAATGTTGTTTTCACTCTGCTTGTGGGTTCTGCCCGAGCATGTCCTTTTCTGCACATGAGCAATGCCATGATGCAGGCATCCACTGTGCCGACTAGTTGAAGGCCTGCTCGCCCGAATAGCTGATGTTGAGCTTGTTCCCAGATGATCCGAAGCATTTCTGCAAGTCCGACAACCGCTCGTCGGGTGAAGGTTCGAAGGCATCGTTGCAGTAGACGTAAATCGTCTCCAGCTTCAAGGCCTCTTTCAAGTATACGATCAGCTTTGAGAACTTCTTGCTTCCATCGATCGTGAAGCGAGGCTGTCGCAAAGCAGGTGCCGACCCCATCGCTTTGACATGGACCTCTACCTTGCCTGCCCGCAGTCTGGCTAAATGTGCCAGCACAGGCCCGGCAGACTCTTGCACCTTTGACATGTTCCACTGCAGCTACATGGCTCTACATCCTCATCTTGAACTTTAAGCCCGAGGCAAAATCCAATTCTGTGGACACTTTGATGCGGTGATCATGGCGTACAAACGACTTTGCCCAGGACCTTCAACCCAAGATCTCGCCGCTGCCAAACCCACCCTCCAAACCCTGCCTTGGTAGGGTATGATGCCCGGGTGCCCCCGCAGTGTGGGTCCCCCTGATTCGGTTTGGATTAGCGGTAGACAGACAAATAGACACCCTTACCCTGGCGTAAGCACAGACGTCCCGCATCCCTTCGTCCATGTGGCTGGTTCTGGCGCTCCTGTGGAGGTGGGCTCATTGCTATCCTCCCTGTATGGATGTTGTAACAATCACTGGAATCGACATGCATCCCCCTGACTGTTGGCAGTCGGCACGATTGAAACACCGCAATGCCATCAGTATCGGGTAATGCTAACTGTTATGAGTTTTGAATCGTCGCCGAGATATCAGGATCCGAGAACGCAACGGTTGCGAGAATCCCGGGCACAATCCACCAGATTCTCACTACTGACGCATTGCAAGGCAGCATGGCAAGGTCGAGACTTTACGAGACCCACAGACTCGCAGATTCCCGCTCACCCTCAGACCGATACCATGGGCGGGGGGGGGGGGGGGGGGGCCACTGACGCGCCTTGCCGGCACCATATATCTGGCACTTGCGAACAATCAAACTCGTTTAGGCCCGCCCTGCAACTTGCAAGTTTTGCACACTTCCGGGTGATACCTGACATGGCTAACCGTGCTTTACTTACAAAGTCCTCTTTGAGCTGTATCGTCCAAGGTCCAAGACACATTTGTATTCTGTATGATTCTCCACTCTCGCGATCAGATGGCTGCGGAGGACATGATCCTTGAACGCGACAGTCAGCATCTTTTCGAACAAGGGGAATAGCATCTTTTCGATGAAAGATGCCCTGGCTGCTGGGCCATGCCTCATATCAAGTTGCTTCTAATTATGGGGTGTAGTCCCCACTTAACGCGCGAATCCTAAAGCGACTCTGCCGAAGNNGGACCATAATTTTGACAATTACCCATATCAATTTGCTTCTATGGGGTGCAGTGTAGTCTCAACTTGTCGCACGAATCCTAAAGCGACTCTGCCGAAGCCACGTTCCGTTCAAGACTTGCGTCTACGAAAGTTGGAATTGCCGCCACGGGCTGCACAACGTGTGCATGGGGAGCACGGAAACACACAGTGCACGAGCCTAGGTTCAGAGACTTGTCTGCCTTTTACTCCAAACGCATGAATCTCCAAAGCAAGTTGCCTCCAGCCAGGTAACAGGAACAAGCGGAGGCCGCGCAAGTGCATTGGGGGCAGTCTCCAAGAGACCTACGACCAAGACGCACTGGTGACACGCGCATGGCATCTTCGCCATCCTCCGTTCAGGCTGCTGATGCAGTGAAACAGAGAGCTGAGTGCTTGGGCCTGCTGGGGATATGGAGCCAAATCTGATCATCTTTGCGCTACATGGCGGATCTTGCTTATTTATCAGAACTCTCAGAAGCACTTCCGTCTCTGCTGAAGCATTCTCAGGCCATGGAGCCCGAGTTGCCTCGACCTAAGCTGAGAGATGCATAGCGGCTTCTTGCAGCGCTGATGCACAGAAGTGACGGATGAGATATGCCGAGACTCAGGCTGTTCGTTCTTGCTGCATGTCCGCGCCTGTTTGCTTGTTCCCTGTGGCCTTTGCCGTTTCAACGGCCAGCGCTGAGAATCGCCGAGTGGATCTTTTCAAAGGATCTCTCAGCTTCCTCGGAGACTGATGGTGTGCTCTTCCTTGCCATTTTGAAGCATGCCAGCACGAGTTCATCTGGGCTAGGTGACTTGACAACTGCCGCCGAACATGTGGTCAAACGATGGCAATCAAGGCTTCCGACATACACGCTCTGCCCATGAACTGTCATTGCACTGCGCACAGCCTGGTGCTGTTCTCAAGAACACTCACAGGTAACTGGCCCAGTACCCCAAACTGTATGGTGCTGCATGCATATTGAGGTGCATAGCATTGCATGCACAGTAGGACCCATGGCAGACAGGTGCTTAGGCGTCGAGCTGAGCACGCTCGAACTGCCCTAAAAAGCAAAGCACAGCTCAAAACCAACATTCAGACTCACCAATGGGAGGTCACCTGTCTGACACGGCCCTCACGCTACGTACAAAAAGTGCTTCTCGAAAAAGTCGGTGGTGGAGGTTGGTTGCCCTGGGCATTGCATCCCGCTTTAATGTCGCACCAGCGAACTCGGACGAACACATGACGAATGAGGACGGTCTGTATCGCATTTTATAGCTCTAGAGACTCTAGAGGTGCGCAGTACATAGTGCTTCGTGCAGGGATGTGCCGAGCAGCCTGCACGGTGCAGGCACCAATGAGAAAAAAAATGGTGCAAAGCGCAGCATTCCCTGCAAAGGAAATATCCGCGCTCGTTGACAACTGTCAACCCAACTTGAAGTTGTCCGAGGAGTGCCACACGGCAATCCAGGCTCTTTCCCTGGTTTCCTCACATACCTTCCAGGAGTCAAAGAGCAGGACTGCTAGGCGGCTTTCTCTCGCTTGCATGCATGGTTGTGGTTTGGGGCAGGTTGACCGTCTTCTTTTAGAAACCTCACTCTCCGCGTGTTCGCTCGAACTGGTTTACCCTTTGTTGCACAGAAGAACGATTTCGTGCCGTGTTGTTCCCCTCCCATTCGAAACCAGCTTCCCATATCCGTGAGAGAGCTGTCGGCTAAATCCTTCACTCCCCTTTGGCCGGAAACGTGCAGCTTCTGTATGCTTCGATGACGTAACGACAAGGGCCGCTTTGCTTGCCAACACTCCTCGGATTTGTCTTTCTTTCTGCGGACTGCAGGCTTACGGGAGTGCACGTCCTCGCATTGAACGGCCAGAGTCCCAGAAAGCGGTCTCCGTTGGTTTTGCTTCTGTCCCCACAGCCGCAGCAGAAAAATCACCGGCACTCGCGACGCACTGGTCTCTTGGGTCTGCGGCACTGTGCAATCATCGGCTCTGCGACGGGACCCTGCCATCTGAAATTGTTCCGCCCGCCTCCCGACTCTTGCCTTTTGCAGCTCTGCGCGCATGTTGGTTGAGTTTGCCTTCCTGGTTTTCCCTCCGTCCTCCCTCCCTCGCTCCCTGCTTTTTCCCAGGGGCATGAGTCCCTTGCTTGCTTCCTTGCTTGCTTGCTCTCTTGCCGGGCATTTGGGGATAAGGGGTAGACCCCCGTTTCCTGACGCAAGCCGCGCTAAGCCCATGTCCGAATCCAGTCGGCGTGAGACATATGTGGACTCAGTGGAGCACTCAAGTCTTGAGTCTGTGCTGTGACCTCTTGCTTGCTTGCTTGTAACGGGTGTAGGGTCCCTGGGGAACCATGGCCCGAAGGCCTACCTCTCACGGCACGCGTCTGTAAGTCTGCTTGGCCCCCACTCGGAGAGGAAAGAAGCGTTCCCCCAAGTGCCCGTGTGAAGACCCACCCGGAAAAAAAAAAACCCTTCTTCCACACAGCCAAAAAGGGGGCAGTGTCCTACCCCCTGCGTGCCCTGGCATGATGCATGCTATAGGCTGTGTCGCGGTCGCTTCGGGTTGATGCTCAGCAGTGATTCAGCCCTGTTCCAGCATGTGCTACGAAGGAGCTCGGAAGCCTCTCCGATTCCCTCTCCCTCGGTGTATGAGGTCTCATACAACAGCATCAGTTTTTGCCAGTGTAGTTAACCAATCAACCAAATTTTCCTGAATGTAGTCCTGCTCAGAACATGCCTGGCAAGCTTGACATGCAATCCTGCAAATGACGACACTGTGTTGCTAGGCACTGCCGGCCTGTGTCTGGGTATGCACCAAATGCCTCAAGTTGTTGCAGATACTGAAGCTGAAGTTGCGTCGAGTCTCCAAGACCTTTCGGGCCACAAGGCGCAAGACATTTGTCAAGGCCCTGGATACACTGTCGCTAAGTGCACACTTTGCAGGCTTTTGCCAGCCTGATAGGGTTGGTGGAAACAGCGGAACCTAGGTCGTGAACAGACATGTCGGGGAAAGACCGAGGTTGTGCACCCGACCGAGGTTCGGGCACGTAGTGCGGTACCCGTCGCCGCTGCAGGCACGGCGGGGTTGGTACCTGCAGGCAAAGAAGCAACGATGTAGTGCCACATTCTGTGCGCTCGTCGCTTCGTGTCCGCGTGCCTCCGGTTCCTGGCGGCATGATCAAGTTGCACCTGTGCTCGTCCCTACTGGGAGCCATAAGAATCATCAACAATAGTTGCAGAGGAAGTTGCGAGGCCAGTAAGTCAGAAGCAGTGGCACTCACCATCGGCACCTCATCAGCTGCGTGCAGAATACACTTTCATTGGAAAGGAGCCTTGCCTGCGGATCTCGGAGAGCAGCAAGGTTCGCCGAAGTGACAGGACCCATCCTGAGACTGCAACTGCTTCAGCGAGTCCTTGCTCCGCAACGGCCGGCAAAGAAATCACTTCCAGCAACCCGGACCTGATCCAAAGCTCATGCCCCCAGGTTTGCTCTAAGACAGCTTACAGTTCGGTCCAGACTATGCCGAGATGGGCGAACAAAACGAGTCCTCGCGCGGCTATGTTCCGATGTTCACGCAGGCATGCAATCTGTGCGGGATTCCCTCTTGCTATTAGTCCTCTAGTCTGTCCTGGCCTTTCCTTCTGTCTATCCCAGCTGTCTTTACAGAGAAAAACATGGAAGCCTGACCATGACTGTACAGTTTCACAGCAGAGTGGCTTTGCCTGGCCATGTGGGCCCAAAATGCTAAATTTAAACCAGGAGCGGCCTACCGTGTTCCGGCAAGCTGCCCTCGTTTCAGGCTGCGTCTCAGACGAGAAGGAGACACGCCTGCCCCCTCCCCTTGTGCTCTTGTGGGCAATCTGCCCAGTCTACCCTGTTGCAGAGTGAAGGGGCGGACCGGGGACTCATGTTTTCCTCACAGCTCGCTCCCGGCTCCACACACGATCCCC